AGGGGCGTAGATTGAAATATTTTGCGGAGTGGAGCGAGGCGAAACATTTTTTGGACCTTTTTTTTCTAAAAAACATAAAATAATTAATGAATATGATAAATTGCCATATTCAATACAATATTAGCAGATTACGATAGTTTTTTTTTTCTGAAAAGGGGGGGGGGGGGGGGGGGGGGGGGGGCGTACGACCATTACGCCCTCACCTGGACCCACCCCTGTTATTAAGCTGAGGACAACCCATGTTTTGCAAATTTTAGGGGGGGGCACGCCCACCAGGCCCCCTGCCTGAATCCGCCACCAGCTGTACATTATTCATTACATTGTGTGTGATTGAGGTCATGGATGATAGATAATTCCTTTTCATTATTAGCACAAATCTGGAAGTTTTAGAAAGTTCATATTTAAGAATTCACAAGTAATGCATGAACTTTAATCTGGACGTTTTAGAAAGTTCATATTTTTAAGAATTCAAGGGTAAAGCATGAACTTTAATGTCATGTTTATAAATTTCAAGAAAATCAAATATGAAGAAATGATTTATAATTTTTGGAAATGGAATAAGAAATTAGTATACACCATTGATGTATTCAGTTTTTTAAAATTATCAAATGCATAGATTATTGGGCTCTTCATTTTTCTACACTATCATAGTTAGTGCAGCAAACAAGGAAAAAAGCTTCATATTGTGTTAAGCACCTGATATTTTATAATATCTATACACAGAAAACCAGATAATCTGTTTATCATGTTATTTCTGGTCTTTTTTCCTTCCTTAGACAGTTTTCAATTGACAAAAGTAAGTTTGATAATGTCTCCAAGCGCATTGTGTAGTCGCTGATAACTTCAGAGACATTGTGATGTTGCTGACAAGTCCTGCTCACGTCTAAAAGTTGTAATATGTGAATTACAGATTGACCGAGCAAGTTGATATAATCAAAGGGAATCACGATAATATTGATTATCCATTTATGTATACAGTCCGCCAAAAGTTAAGCACCACCTAAATATAACTGGCAATATTTTTTTAACTATTGCGAAAAAAAATACTTATATTTGGTGTAATGAATTGCCTATAACATACACCAAGAAAATTCATTACGACCAAAAAAAATAAACTCCGATCAACACACCAAGCAATTTTTTATTAAAGGTCATCTGCACTTTTTCGAATACACTGTTTCGATGCCTTTAAATCATCTTCCTACTGCCCTGCGTACAGGTGAAATTCGACCTTCACTAGGTCACTGTGAAATATGGCAAGGGGTAAGTTATATGTGACTGAACCTTGACAAGCAATTGACATGTCAAATGCCGGTAGGAGCACTAGTTGCATAGGTAACCATTTCAATGTTAAACCATGGAAGTATTATATTATACTTCCATGGATAGACCAAGGTCCGGAAGACCCCGTTTAATGGAGGGGCAAGGGGTTTAACTGTTATGCTGTTTTGGGGCAATTTAATTCTTTGTTATCTGTTATTCTGAAAATGTATTTACTGTTAGCTGTTATTGTCATATTCCTTGTTAGCTGTTATAGGACTATTATTTTTTTTGTTATCTGTTATTGTGAGAATGTATTTGCTGTTTTAACTGTTATTGAAAATTGAAATGTTAGCATTTTGGCAGCCAATCTTCGGTAGAAATTGAAAATCGTTGAACATTTGGGTCTAACCACTAGTAATATGGTGGTCCCTTATTCGGAGTAGGATTCCAGTAACATACACATCATACAAACATATTAAAATCAGTCGGGTCCAGGACCATTCCAGTATATCTTATTATAATCCGGTTGTTATAAATTCCATTTTCTATGAACATGTATTTAGTGTTACCTAGAATTGGTTTACTCAATATATAATTATATTTTGTTATGGAATACTTTTTTCAGCATTTATTTTTATACGCCCGGTCAAATTTTTGACGGGACGTATTATGGTATACAAATGTCCGGCGTCCGTTCGTCTGTCCGTCCGTCTGTCTGTCCGTCTGTCTGTCCGGCGTAAACATGTCGCACCGTAACTTGAGAATGACTTATCCAAATTTCATGAAACTTAACATAGTTGTTTCTTATGATGGTCAAACGATCTGTATACTTTTTGGTGAAAATAAGATTAAAACTTTTTGAGTTACGGGACTTAGTAACTAAAACAGGTGTGTGTTTTTTTTTTCACATGTCGCGCCGTATCTCAAAAACAGTTTATGATTATTGCTTACTTTACACACTTCTTAATTATATTAATCTTAAGATCTGTATACTTTTTGGTTTTGATTCAAAAATTTATTTTAGAGATATTGAGTTTTTTGTAAAAAAAAAGGGGGTTTTCGCATGTCACGCCGTATGTCAGAAACTATTTATGCTTATTGCATAAAAATTCACACACAAGACGACGGGCGTATCATGCGCTCATGGCGCAGCTGTTTATTGTGCCTTAAAAGAAACTTCGCGGCACGCTGGCTTGTAATTTAAATAGTGTGTGTATTCTTAGAAAAAAAATCACAGAGCTGAGTCTGTGTTCGAGACTCAGCTCTGTTTAAAAAGGTGTTTCTGTCGTATGGACCTAGGCCTATCCTCATCAGGTATCCCTCACCATATGTTTTCCTTTTTGTAATATAAAGAATTGTTCAAATTCCATTTTCATGTTCCCTATATCCCCATACGTAAAAATTAAATCCAAACAATTCTTAATATTACAAAATGGAAAGCATATGGCCATTATATCATACAATATCTTAATTGTCATATAAACATAATTAGTTTGTGCAAAAAACAAAAGCAAAAACAAACTTAATATAGCAAAGAAATAACAATTCTAAAAGAAAGGAACACAAGGGAAAAAATATATATAGCTAGACTAAGAGGATACATTGTATCTCGGTGTTATGATTAAAAACTGGTTGAACTTCTTTTATATATCAAAAAGATTAATTTACTAGAAATTTTTATTGGGAGATTTCCCAATGAAGCTACCTTGGCTTTAACCAAAAACATGACTTTTCCTGCTTTTTCGCTCTAGGTCTTCTAAACTTGAATAAGGTTACCATTACTCTTTATAAGAGTTTCTAGGAATTTATATTCTAATACATTTTTCATCATATTACCATTGTAGTTATGAAATGAGCCTACACTTTTGGCAATATGTGGCTGTAAAATCATGGTTTTAGTTTTATTTATATTTATAGTAAGTTGCCAATTTTCGCAGAAACTACTAAATTTATTTATACTGTTCTGCAGACCTTCTTTACTCAAAAGTAGATCATCTACAAAAGATAGTGGTCCAAGGGTTGAGTCTACTAGTTTTGGATAACAAAAAAATATTACCATACATTGAGAAAACCAATTCTATAGATAACTCTAAATACATGTTCATAGAAAATGGAATTTATTACAATTTATTAAAATAAGATATGCTGAATTGGTCCTGGACCCGACTGATTTTAATATTTCATTTACTGTTATCTGTTTTTATCCTGTTTCAATTCCTTGTTATCTGTTATAAGCCAAATCAATTTGCTGTTTTGCTGTTATTGGATCCCCCCTTGCCCCCCCTCGTTTAACTACCGATCGTGATGACAGACTCCTTATTGGTTGTGCTAAAACCAACCCATTTACTCCTGCCCCACAACTTAGACACCACTGGTGTCAAGGTGGTCATGTTAGTGTTCGAACATTGGTCCGTCGACTTCATAGAGGCTACCTAAGAGCACGTCGTGTTGTCAAGAGACCTGCCCTAACAGTCTGGCACCGTATAATCAGGTTTCAAAGGGCTAATGGCCATCGACGCTGGAACATGAGAATCTGGCAAAATGTTCATTGGTCCAATGAGAGTCAGTTTCTGTTACGACCAATAGACGGCAGAATACGAGTTTGCCGTGGAAATAAAACTGTTAATGACCAAAACAACATTTGCCCAACGACTGCATACGTTGATGGTGGTGTTACAGTATGGGGTTACTTCTCATACTGTTGTAAGGTGGGTGTGCATATTCTGCAGGGTTACATGAACGGACAGACATACAGAGATTTTGGTGCTTAGAAACATTGTAGTCCCTCATTTTGATAATCCTCCACTTGCTTCAAGACCCTTGTGCATGTACGACAATGCTAGACCACACAGGGCAAGGATTGTACCCGAGTACAAAGAGTACAAAGAGCAAGAAGCCGTTGACACTATCTTTTGGCCTTCCATGTCTTCAGACATGAACCCTATCGAACATGTCTGGGATGCCATTGGCAGAAATCTCAATCGCAGAGATCCACCTTTGCAAAATCTTAGCAATTTAAGAAGCGCAATTGTTGCTGAATGGAATAAATTTGCTCAACTAAGTTCAGAAGACTTGTACAGAGTATGAGACTCTGTGATATGGAACTGTACCGGAAGAGAGGGTGTTACACATCCTATTGACTCAAATATTGACATTAAATTTGCCGAACATACCAAAGATTATTTGTAGAGACTTTTAATGATATTGGGTGATTAATTGTTGTTAAAAAATAAAATAACAGTGAAACTTAAATTCCGTTTCGGATTTGTGTAACTTTCACTATTTCTATGAATGCAAATTTCAAATGCATAGAACCTGCATACGTGAACAAACTTAAGTCTACGGTTTGTTTATGGTATATGTTAGCAAAATTGCTACATGAATATTTTCTCTTTTTTGAGGATTAACTTGTTTTTTTAAATGAAAAAAATTTTGATGCAAAAAAAATAGGTGGTGCTTAACTTTTGGCGGACTGTATATGATAAAATTTTGAGTCTCAAATAATTATAATATCCAAGTTCATCTGAATTTGTTATTGGTGAATTGACTTTTGCTTTGTAAATCATTTGTACATTTGATGTCTTGTCTATTTGTTCCAGTTTGTTATGGGAGAAGACTTATATAGGCTTTATTAGTGTCTTATTCCCTTGCATCAAATATCAAAAAAAAAAAAAAAATTCATACTATTACTGTCTATTCAGTACATCATATAACGAGTGACAAAGATAACAACCATGCAGTATTTAAATGCTTTATTACATACAGGCTGCTATAACAATATACAATGGCAATAATATGATATAACATTACAAGAGATCTGGGTAACATAATGCAAGAACAAACAGAAAAAAACATGTGTGTTGAGAAGATTTAGATTTTATAAACAGATTTGATGTTCTTGGCTCTATTAACAAATTACAAAATTTGAGGAAGCAGACCTTTCAAACAATGCCAAAATGCTTCTAGTGTCTAGCTGTAGAATGCATTCTTTAAATACTAGCGATTTGTGGGTTTGATCAAATGCTGAATTAAAGCAACATTGAAATTGGTATTTGCTGCTTCATTGATAAGCATGCATTATTTAGAACTAAAATGGGTCAACTCTAGGTTGTGTGTCCATGTGAGGTGAAATGTCTTCCTGTTGACCATTTCTTTACAAGCTAGGAGATCAAACATATGGTTCAGCATTATCATTATCAGTACAATCATAATAAGGTTAATTAGGTTACAAATGACTACACTGTCACCGTAAATATTGTGAAAGATTGTCTTGAATTTAAACATTTATCCATGCTTTCCTCAAACTGTTGTCATTACATTGATTGATTGTTGGTTGCTTAATGTCCAGTGCCAAATATTTCATGCATGTTCACGTTGTTCTTACAGTAACAATGGATGATCTGAAGGAGTTTATTGATGCATAAACATGACCCACTCATTCACAAACCGAACTTTCTGTTAACTCTGTGAGTGAAAGGCAAAATGAACATGTAAATAAACCTGTTAACACAGAGATATGTCTCGCCTATTTGTTATTTTGATAATGCAAATGTTGAAATTAAAATAGCAATACTTTTTTAATATGTAAGTTATGCAAATATTCAAAGTCAATGAACCATGACTGAAGGTACAGGGCTAAACAATCTCCATGGAAATGAGATGTGCCAATACTAATACAACTGTATACCAAATACCACTGAAACCTCAAAAGTCGTTCCCTTTAAACAACACAAACATTAACTTGTAAACGTAAAAGTTTCAAAGTCAATGAACCATAATGAGGGTGTGGGGGTTATATAATCTCCATGGAAATGAAACTTGCAAATGCCAATACATTTGCATACCAAATATCATTGACTTAACATTAGTGGTTCATCTTAAACTGACCTAATCACAAACTAATACATGTAAACGAAGCAAAAGTTTCAAAGTTAATAGACCATGACTGAGGGGGAGGGGCCAAATAATCTCCATGGAAATGAGATATGCCAATGTTTATACAACTGCAAACCAAATATCATTGACCTACCACTAGTGGTTCCCCATAAACTGACCTAATCACAAACTAATACATGTAAACTAAGCAAAAGTTTCAAAGTCAATAGCAGACCTGCCAACTATCCCGATTTATGCAGGATATCCCCCTTGAGAGGTGTTGACCTGAATTTTGAAATTCTTTATTATATAAACTGAACATCTCAAAACAGGCATTCAAATGAATTACAAGGGTATTTAAGCACATACATATTCATTCAAACAATATAGTAGTAGATTAAAAACACTTATGACAATATAAGAGGAGCATTATGTTCTCTTGCGCTTAAAATCCCCCATGGAGATTTTGAAAAGTTGGCAGGTATGCAATAGACCATGACTGAGGGGGCGGGGCCAAAAAATATCCATGGAAATGAGATATGCCAATGCTTATACAACTGCATACCAAATATCATTGACCTACCACTAGTGGTTCCCCATAAACTGACCTAATCACAAACTAATACATGTAAACTAAGCAAAGTTTAAAAGTCAATAGACCATGACTGAGGGGGTGGGGCCAAATAATCTCCGTGGTAATAAGATGTGCCAATGCTAATACAACTGCATACCAAATATCATTGACCTAACACTAGTGGTTCACCATAAACTAGACCTAATCACATACTAGTACATTGTTGACAACGCCGGACACAGCATACCTATGTCTCGCTTTTTGACTCTGTCAAGGCAAGACGAAAAATGTGTATAACATTTTTTACTTATGATTCCAATATAATGCCAAAAAAACTGTGTATAACATTTTTTACTTATGATTCCAATATAATGCCAAAAAACTGTGCTAATTGTTTGGGATTCTTTAAACACTCGCATAATGATCCATAATATGCTTTTATAACAAGAAATATGAAATATTGAAGCAATACAGCTTAAACATTGATTAATCAAATTACAAAATATATAAATAACAATGGATATAATAATTTGAAGCAACAACTTGTAAATGAACTTCAATATTTAAATCAACATATATAATTAAAAATACTACTTTTGCAACAAAAAAATTGCTGACAACGAAGACCAGTTAGTTAATATCACAGTCATTAAAAAAAAGCACCAAAAGCATAAAAGCAATAATATATGAAATAAGGTAATATCTGAGTTTTTTTCTGTTTCCTATAAACTCAATCTTCTCTGGATAATAAACCTTTTTGTACATACATAAATGAGGATAGTAATGTTTTTACTGTCAAGCATCAAATTCCCTTTTTTGGAGGCTTTTATAATTGAAAGAACAAAAAAAGAATGTAAAAAACTTTTAATTAGCTGAATCTTCAATAAAATGCAAACACCCATTGGTCATTTCTAGCTACTGGTATGTAAAGACTGCAGAAAGATAAAGCCTGAGATTAAGGCTAAACAAAACTGGTATCTCCATGCTTGGACAGTCTTTATTTATATGGGTATGTCCCTCATTATAAATAACTATTGTATATAACAATATTGACAGAAAATACAACAGATGAAAGCAAAAAAAAAAAAAAACCACAAACTATATAGTATTCAGACAGTTCAATTGCACTTAAAAATAACTAAATAATACAGCTATTATGCATATGGAAGCAAAGTAAAATGAAGCTAACATCAGTTATATATTTTGGACGATTAAATTTCACATAGCAATAACAAATCAATATATTGTTAACAATTTTTTTTGTCTTTAACGATTCTTTCAATCATTTGCTTTCAAAACTAGTTTAAAATGATTTAATCTACTAAAAATTATAAAATATATATATTTGTTTTGCTTTAGATTCTAACAAGACTTTATTATGCTAATTATTATGCACAGTGACCACATATAATGCCTCAAAAGATTCTGATTGTGATATACAATACATCAGACCTCTCAAAATACATTGTTTTAGATATATGGAAAAATAATTGATTGGTTGATTTTTGATTGCTTAATGTCCAGTGCCATATATTTCATGTATATACAATATGAAAGTTTTGAATAAAGGCGGGAAATTTATACTGGTATATTAGATAGGGGTAGAAATTTTGCCTTTCAACATGTCACATACTTATTTTTTTAAACTGAGTTTTTTAAAAGGTTTTTTTTCATCATGCATTTATAGAGTGTGGCAATCACTCTACAAGGGCAAACATAATTGAAGTAAACTTTCTACATATAAATAACAATCATGCAAAAAAAAACTTTGAATGATTTAATAAACAGTAGAAAACAGTTTTTTACATGTTAGTAGAACAATGTTATGCAGTGTGTTATTTCTAGTTGCTGAATCGGACATAATACTAGAATAACACACACATATCTTTTTTAAAAATAACCTGCAACTGGTATGTATACTTTGCAATTGCAAGTATACCATTAAACATATTTGTTTTACATGTAAAGATTTTATTGATATCCAAAAGGAATTTTATATATATATATATATATATATATTCATTGTTTTGGATGCTTCAATTCAAAATTGGATATAATTTTTAATAGATATTGGAATATATGCCAAATATAAATGTATATCTAAATATTTTTTCTATAGATTTAGCACCTGATTTTAGAAATGAATTTTATCTATATATATACTTAATATCATCCTAAACAACAGTTTTAAATGATGGATCTTTTTTCTGATTTTAAAATTGTGCTTGAATATTAGTAAGGGCTCTTGTAGCAATATAGGCATTTCACACTGATGTGATGTTAAATCAGTAATCAATCAATCAATCCTACAAAAAAGGCTGACTGATCAGCACATATACCTCCAATGGAATTGTCAAAAGTAAGTTAAATTTAAAGTCATATGAAACAAGTTTCTTGTTATTATAATTTTATAGAAACTATTGAACCAATGCATGCATAAATACTAAACTAAGTCTTGTATGCACATTTTTTTCCCCATTTATTATGAATCTATAGCGTATTATCGACAAATAATATTTCATTCAGTGATTGTTGATCGTAAGCTACTTAACTTACTTAAGTTTGTTGCCCAAGTTTACGGGATTGTGACATTAATAAACGATCAACATAGAGTAGAGCATGTCAAGCACATGAAAAATAAGTGAGAGCCATGATAATTTTTTCCATGCATTCCCATTTGTTAATCTAACTTTTCCTTAACAGTTGTTAAATGATTTGGTTATTTAAGTTGTTCTTTAAGAAACAGTTTTTACTATTTACCTTCCAGTGTACTTTCGCTACATTTTTTCATAACGGTTTTCCCCTCTTGCACTTGGGCCATCCTAATTCTAACCAGAGGTCTCATAGTAAAGGTCACTGCATACTGGAAAAGTCGATGAATTTTAGTGCGGGAAAACAATAATTCAATAGCAGTACATTTATGCAGATTTTGATAATATAAAGGATTTTTTTTTACAAGAAGGTTCACAAACACTTGTTTTATAGTAAAACTTAGCCATACAAGTATATAAAACATATTCAACTTTTCTTTTAAATTTGAAGTTTCATATGACTTTAATAGCTCGTCATGGTGTTAAAAGATGATTTTAGTACATTATTCCCAATAAGTTCAAATGAAAAAAAAAAAACTAAATCTAAAACTAGCTGTTTTTTTAGTCTGCAGAATGACAAAAAATTAATAAATTTTGGATAAAATAATGAAAAGAAAAAAGGTTATCTAAATAATCTTTAAATCTGATTAATACAGAGATAACAACATATGTTTCCAGAAAAATTTTGTCAGGTATTCTCCAAAACAAAACTTGAATGAATGAAGTCAATTAAATAAACATTTAAGATGATGATTGGTGATTGCCTTACACCACATCAGCATAAAAAGGCTACATCACAGTGATTTAAGTGCAACAAAACCTAATCAGTCATATGCAGGACAGCCAACTTGGTCTTAGGTCAACTTGAACCTCAGATTTGGGTTATTTTAAAGATGAGCTAAGCCAGTTTTGCCAACTTTAAAGGTCATTTGTTTTTTTAACTTTTAGCTTTGAGTGTCTCTGATACCTGTAAAATTTAGCCTAGAAAAGCACTTCATATTAAATAAATTCAGAGTATGTGATTTTTTTATTACTTAAGATTTCAAAAATTAGTTTTCTGTAACACAAACTTGACTTTACAAAAAGTTGGCCAAGCAGTTCAATTAAAAGCATAGATACAACGTTAAGAAAAAAAAAGTTTGTGCCATCTGTTATTTGGTTCTAAAAGGATTCATTGTTAGAAGAACTATCAAATGAGAAACTTCACCAGGACAGAATTTCTTGGCATTAATTATTATATCTTTTATTCACACAACAAACATATCACAAATTATATTTTCTATGGAACAAAACCTACATACTCCTGATAATACATAAGACATAATAATTACCCTGTTAAATTATAATAATCATAAACCAAGATCTATAAAAGCATAACAAAAATTATAAAAGCACCACGTTAAAAACTACACAACAGTACAGTCTCTGTTACTATAACAATAACTAAGTTTAGTCAGTTTACATCTTAACCATTTGAGTGGGTACTTTGTGAAGAAAAGTTAAGTCAGCTTGTCTGTAAGGTGAATCATGAATTTTTTATTGAGCTATTGTAAATATAGAAACAAATTGGTCAAACTGGTTCTTCAGTCAATCTTTTCTTAACCATTGATTAGCTAGTTATAACTTTTGTTTATTCAGTAAGCAAAAGATAAAGGAAATTTTGCATTTATGGCCCACCTAGCAAACTTAACTTTAAACACTTTCAAGTACCGGTAAATATATTCAGTCAGAAACTTTCACAATACTTTGGACACATGGTGCAACTAAGCAATGTACTCTAATATAATACTGTGTACGAGACAATGATGAGTAGTCAATACAAAATAAATGTCACTTATAAACTGAATAAGTGTAATAATTATTGAATTACAACATTAATATTATTGGAAATTTATTATTACAAAGTTTGAAATATTCCAGTTTTGATACAATACAATATGGTGAAACATTGCTATAGATGCATCTTCACACACTTTACATACAGTAAATCATTAAGAACACCATAATTGAACTATAAACAAAATATGAACATAAAATATAGTCACAATGACAGGTCTATATCTTAAATTCTGATATACCCACTATATCACACCCCTTTCTTAAGTTTGGATTATCTTCCATTTCATTTTTTTTTATAATACCCAAGGCATGAACTTTGGTATAAAATGTAACCAAAGACAATAAGGTCATACTTTGAAAAAAAAATTTGTTTGACAGATGACAAGGAAAAGCAGAAAAACAGAAGTGTATTTTTAAACATTTAGACAATGAACTACATACATAATGGCATATCATTAAAAGAAAAAGAAAATGATATCATATCCTTAACTTTGGAAAAAACAAGACGGACCGTGAAATTGGCCTTTAAAACTCTAATTTGGCATTAAAATTAGAAAGATCATATCACAGGGAACATGTGTACTAAGTTTCAAGTTGATTGGACTTCAACTTCATCAAAAACTACCTAGACCAAAAACTTTAACCTGAAGTGGGACAGACGGACGAATGGACGGACAAACGGACGCACAGAACGAAAAAACATAATGCCCCAAGGTGGGGCATAAAAAACGGGTAACAAAGATATATTTATTATTAACAAGATATTCATTTATTTTTTTTTAAACTTTTATACTTAATTTGAAATTCCATATATAGAAACTGAACTTATCATCATTTTCATAGCTCCATCTAATACTTATATTCTTTGTAAATGAATACAAAATTTAATAGCTATTATAAACATAATATGTAACGCAAGTATAATCTAAATTAAAATCTGTACCCAATTAAAAAAAAAATTCTTCTGGTTATCTAGGTATTTATTTTTAAAGTATATTATCATATTAAACCCAAATTAATGTAGTTCATTATAAAAGTTGTCAATCTAGTTTTGAAATAATATTTGACAGTAAAATAACAGCAGACTTCAAATTTTTAGGTGTTTTTTTTTTAAAGCTCTTAATTATGTCAAAATATCAAGTTTGGTTTGATAAAACAAATTCCAATTGAGTCCCAATTTTGAAGAACTGCAAAACACTTTCAGTCAAGTCACAGTAATAACTTTGGGAATGAAGATTAATTGATTGATTGTTGTTTAATGCTGCATTATATAAATAGGTTAAGTTTCAACAAGACCAACTATCAAAAGTCAGGCAAAAGTACCATCACAAAGATACATTTTTTTTATCTATATAATTTTCTTATCACTAGTTCAAAAGTCAGGCAAAAGTCCCATCACAAAGATACATTTTTTTCCATCTAGTCACAAGCTCCCAATGAGTTTTGATAACCAAGACAAAAAGAGAAACCAAATAAAATTATCAATAACTTTGCATGGGAAACATAATTTCTTTGAAATTACAATTTTCAGCATTTGATACAATATAAATTGATTTTAGTGCATGGTTATAATACATGCAATACACCGGTATTTGTAAAACCAGGAAAAAACACATCACTGGTCATTGTAAGTACATAGGAAAAACATTCCAATCAAAGCAAGGACAAATACAAAACATCATGAACAAATGCAATAAACTCAACATTATTATCATCTGTAACAGTGGCAACACATAGATTTCATAAGCAACAGTACAATATAAGCAGATACTGTGGATTTTGTCGATTCAGGTGAACCACAAATTTAAATATTCAACAAAATACAAATTACTTAATAGTCTGTTAACTTGTGTGAAACTTTATAATTAAGTTTCCACAACAATATAAATTCCCAGAATCCATGATAATTAGTACCCTAGAAAATCCACAGCACTTTTAAGACATGTAACATCCATATAGATATACAAGGCAAGTTTTTTCCATGACAGGTAGAATAATTTATACAACATATCATTGAAAAGTAAGCAGACAGTAAAAATATTCTAGCATTTTTCAAGGTGTTAAAATGTTCAGGGATAGACTGCAGAAAGGTATCTACTTTCCTGGGAATCTGTCCTTTGAGAGAACACCTGAAAATAAAACAGAGGTAAATTATCATTAAGTTTGCCTAAGAAAACATTTTTTTTTAAATAAGTATAGCAAAATTAGAAGAAAGGTCAAAGATACCCAAGGGACGTTCAAACTCATAAGTTAAAAATAAACTGACAATGCCATGGCAAAAAAAAAAATAAAGGATCAAAAGACAAACAACAGTATACAAAACACAACATAGAAAACAAAAGACTGAGCAACACTGACTCCACCAAAAACGGGGGTGATCTCAGGTGTTATGGAAGAGTAAGCAGATCCTGCTCCACATGTGGCATCCGTCATGTTGTTCATGTAAGTACAAACCCGTGATTAGTCTTAATTCGGTGGGTCACCTTCTGGGAAAAAGAGGACAGGATTGTGGTTACGAAAATTGAAACATATCTGTCGTCAGCCGTGAAACAAACATTTCATAACAACTAAAGGTGTCTGTAAAATTTTCGAAGGGATGATTTCAACTTCACCACTTGGAACTCTTGCTTTAATAGTTTCCTTGTGAGCATCAACCCTCTGACAAGGAAATCATGATAGGAAACACAAGCCATGGAATATCGTATCAACTGGGAGATATATTCTCCATATCAGGCGCTGCCGGAATGTTGCTACATAGAAATGGGAAGTTCTCAATTGAGAAGCTGAAATCTCTTTTGTCGTAAAGTTTGGTTCTAAACAGACCCTCATTTTCAATTCCTAGATGTAAGTCAAGATATGAAGCAGACTTAACTGTGTCTGTTGTATCCTTTATTTCAAGTTAGATGGGATAGATGCTTTCAACATAGTCACCAAACTTTGAATTATTTAGTGACAGGATGTCATCTATACAATGGAAAGTGAATTTAAAGGATAATGCTACCTTCTTTTTCGTTTTTTTTAAGAAGCTCCTGTATGAAGTCAGCCTCAAATGAATAAAGGAACAAGTCAGCAAGAAAAAAGAAAATGGTTTCCATGGGAATGGGGATTTTTTGTTGAGAAAACATGTCAATCAAATAATCAGGCATCTTGATAATGTCAGTTTCAGAGAATATTTTGTATGAATCAGAGTGATTTTTTATAAAGTACAATTAACCCTCCCTAAGACAAGATACTTGTTTCTATGTTGGCCATTCTTTTTAATGAAACAAAGCAGGACTAACTCTTTCAATTTGTCTTTTAGTTTAGAATTGGGAATACTTGTTATTCAAGAGGAAAGTGACTTAGATTGTATGTACTCTTACAGATCTTTGAAATTCTTTAGTATCCACATCTGAAAAGTCTATAAGAACAACAAAATATAACATGTTTAAGTCAGAAATTAAGTTGTCATAACAAACATAATGTCAAAAGATCTTTTTTTTTCAACGCATGACCTCTATATTTCCAGTCCAAAAAAAACAAGCATTCAATTTTTGTTATTTGTGATGTCATGACAAGTATGCTAATACCTTAATTTTCAACTAAAAGATCAATTTCCTATCTAGTCATTGGTAGACTACTCATATTCAGAAATTTTCCTTAACGTTACGGCACAACTCTCCGTTTTTCTCCAGGCAAAGCATACCAGTCAACATTTACATGTGTCAATATTTTTTAAAGCATGCATCAAATACATCCTTGACAATATATTTTTTGATTCATTTTACACTGACTGAACATTTCATGCAGTTTAAATTCACTTCTTCAAATACATTACCTGTGAAAATTCTGAAACAGACATTTTTTTTTCTCTTAAAAAAAATAGATTTTTATTAAAATGCTATGATAAATTTTTGTGACCTGTTGAGGTCACCAGCTTCCAAGAAATCTAAGCCACTCAAACCTCAATCATTGTGCTCATGATGGAAGGTTTTTTTTATGTAGATTTTGTCAAATATCAGTTGTGATTCAAAATATGAATATGAAAGCTTTTGTAGGCTATAAAAGTTCTGTAAATGTTCATATTGTGTCAAGTGGCTGAAATTCAAAATATCTGTTTGTTGAAAAGCTTATAATCTGTTTTATCCTATCATTTGAGTTTTTTTCTCAATAAATAACAAATAAGAGTATGTATTTCAAAGTACAAGGTTCACTTTTGGCACAATGTGACCTTGAATTTCAACTTTATCATAAAACAAGCATTCTGAGAGTATTGCATGGCAATACATAGTCCCCTACCGGTTAAAAATTAATTGTACTGGAACAATATGCTAACTTGATCTATAACTTGTCATGGTGTAAACTATATAACAAATATCAAGTCAATATCTTCAAGCATGATGACAAAAAGTGTGGAAAACTGATTATTGAAGTGAATTTTCTAAGTCCAAGGACCATAACTCTGCACAAAATCATCAGACTAGAGCAAAATTGGAACTTGGTCTGTAATTTGTCATGATAAAACTATATACCAATTATCAAATCAATATCTTCAAGCATGACGAAAAAAAGTGTGGAAAACTGAATATTTGAGTGAATTTTCTAAGTCCAAGGACCAGAACTCTGCACAAAATCATCAGACTGGAACAAAATTTGAACTTGATCTGTAACTTGTCATGATAAAACAATATCTTCAAGCAAGAAGAAAAAAGTGTGGAAAACTGCTTTGCCAGACAGACAGACAGACAGACAGACAGACAGACAGACAGACAGACAGACAGACAGACAGACAGACAGACAGACAGACAGACAGACAGACAGACAGACAGACAGACAGACAGAGCAAACCTAAATTCCCTTTCGACTTCGTCGGTAGGGGACTGATAAAATATCAAAAAGGCCACAACTTGGTTCTAAAATTAATCTTTTTTAAAACTCTTAATGCTAGGTCAAAAAAAACTTCTTCAAATAGTACATTTTTAGGCTCTAAAGTCTATTGTCAAAATATGATGTTTTGGGGTATTTTAGGACTTAAAAGCATTGAAAAACATCTGGCCGCAATCTATGATCCCAAATGTTCTGTAGCAAAAAAAGGTGCCAAGGTTGATTTTGAATTCCTAGAGACAAAATGTTTTTGGATCAATGGTGGTGGCCAAGGTAAATCATGCTAAAAACTGTAGTAAATCATTGAAAAAATGCACTAAAACCGACGTTATAACACAAATAGTTCACAATTAAGTGCCACTTGATAAGTGGTCACAACCTCTTGATTGTTAATGTGAGGTGCCAAAAAGAAGTTATTTTGTATTAATAGTAATATCACAACTATTTCTATGTGAATTCTGTAGAATTTTGGCTTGATTAGTAAACACCATTAAAATCTTAGTGCCAATTCTAGCCCTTTGTGAACCTTCTCCTTTAAATGCTAACTGAAATAATGTCAATAAAAACAAGCATTCTGAGAGTATTGCATGGCAAAACATAGTCCCCTACCGGTTAATAATTCATTGTATTAGAACAAAATGCTAACTTGATCTATAACTTGTCATGGTGTAAACTTTATAACAAATATCAAGTCAATATATTCAAAAATGACGAAAAAAAGTGTGGAAAACTGATTATTTGAGTGAATTTTCTAAGTCCAAGGACCATAACTCTGCACAAAATCATCAGACCTGAACTAAATTCGAACTTGATCTGTAACTTGTCATGATAAAACTATATACCAAATTTCAAATCAATATCTTCAAGCATGAAGAAAAGAAGTGTGGAAAACTGATTTGTCGGACTGACTGATGGACGGACAGACAGACAGACGGACGGAGTGCAAACCTAAAGTCCCCTTCTACTTCGTCGGTAGGGGACTAAAAATGATATTGCCAGGTTATATATTACGACGCCATGGATAACCCCATTTTGCTGGGTCAGATCTTTTTGATGATTCAAACTAATGATAAGAAATGTCCCGAATAGCTGAGCAGAATGATTTAGACAGGGAAATATGACAATTCATTGTTAATTTGTCTATTTTTAAAAAAACAATCCTCATTTTCTTTTGAATCAATCTGGTTTTCTGTTCACGAAATTGTACAGCAAATCGAGTCCAAAATGCTTTGTATAATGAGCAACTGTTCTGCAGTGTACATCATGCAAACTGGCAATTATTTCCCTTGACACAAGTGTAAAAAGTTTTTCGCACATCAATCATTGCATGTATATCAGTACTAATAAGCTAGCTTACTTGATAAAAAAAAAAAAACAGAAATGCATGCAAAAGTTATTTTAGAACATAATTTCTCATTAAACTTGTCTTATTTTGGGGTCTGGATTTCCCTTTAGTCCAAATTCCTGCTGATTCAATGTCATTAATTATCATTAACAGATTAACATTTCTTTATCATCAGCCGTCATAAGCTTAAAACAAGGCTATTGATTTCTGGGAGATATGCTGGAAAGCTGTGAAAGTGATTAGATATCTTGATAATTAAACTTTACAACACAGTAGGCGATTAAAACAACATCACTGAAGCTCTTTATGACACATTCTGAAAAATACAATTGACATTACATAAATAGAATGGATTCCTGAAGTCTTCTAAACACAGGATGACAATACTTCCATTTTAGTTTGTCTGCTATAGAAAAAAACTTCCTAGGCGGAGTTTGGAGTTTGATTGTATCTTTTTATATATTTTGTAATCATTTTGATCAGAAAAGATGATTACAGGAAAAATTAAAGATTCTTTGCTTTAATCAGGAGTGTTTGATTGATTGATTGATGTTAAACATCACTTTCAGCACTGTTGGCTATTTCGTGGCGGAAGCCAGAGTGCTGGGAGAGAATCACGACCTTCGGAAGGATAATAATCAGGAGTGTATGTTACATATACTCTTTCGACTATTTTGTAGATTGTACCTTAAAAGTAAGATTGTTTATTGTTTTTTTCCAAAGCAGCAAATATCTCATGCATATTCAGGATGGTATCAAATTGGATAGCACTGCAAAGTGACATGAATGAGGGGCAGCAAATCTGGACTGTCACTGAAAAGAGGGCATGTTAGATAGGGGTAGAAATTATCCTTGCAATAGGTCAGTGCCTGCAAGAGCTAACAGATAGCAAGAATTTTTTTTCTGGCCTAGAGCTTAACATCCACAATCTGACTGGATTTGGCTATGTATTCATACATCCAGCACAGTTAAATGGACAACCCTTGAACATTGGGCTTAGTGATGAACAGGAGAAGTTCAGGAGACCATATTTCTATACCTTAGTCAATTCATAGGGTCATTAGAGGCATTAAGTTGCTGCATTCTGAATTTGCAGAAAATAGCCTCATTTTTAAAATCCTTTAATTTAAACTGATTAAGAAGTGAAATTCAAGACTTTTTAAATCCAAAGCAAACGAAGCATAAATGGAGGTGGATCTTACAACCCCTAATAGACTAGTCTTTATACAAAGTAACATTCCTTGACCACCTTATGATTGGAGGTGTGAACCTGAAAATCCATGGAAAAACATTCTCCACAGTGGAATTTATCAAACCAAAATATTATCTAAATAAACAGCATGTTTGTCTTCTACAGTGGCGGATCCAAAAGGGGGGGGGAGGGGTTCTGGTACGGGGTTGAAACCCCACCTTTTTTTTGATGATCAATGCTTTTGAATGGGAACATATGGTTGGAACCCCCCTTTAACCTGGGTTGGAACCCCCATTTTAAAAATGGCTGGATCCACCCCTGTTCTAGTACTAATGACATCTAAAGGTAGAATTGGTTTAGCCAAAATAAGCAAAACCTTGTTTTTCTGTCCATCTTTTTTATAACCTTGAAAGTTAGGATCCTTCTGAAGAACCAATTATTTTTTGTGAAAGCTGGTTGTTCAAGAAAATGAAAATAATTTTTATTAGAGAAAGCATAGATACAGATTAATTCAGGACATTTTTTCTGCCATCATGTAAAATACAATTTTTTTTTAACAACATAAAACCTTAAAAAAATTAGTTTCAAAGTATTTGGTAATAATTCTTTGGTCAAACACCACTAAAATTAGTATTCCAAAGAATTTTCATTAGCAGGACTCACAAGAAGATTAATATCTGAAGATAAAAATGCTGTAAAATAAACAACACATCTACCAAAAAAGAAATGCAAAAAAGAAAGTAAAACAAACCTAGAACTGTTTTGTCACACCACGATGTACATGAACATATTCAGCAACATGTAGAAACTCATGCATGATGGCATGCAACATTGACTTAAACCCCTAGGAACAATGATAAAAAGTGCAAACACCAGATAAAGCACAAATAAAGAGCAGAAATATTACCTGTAACTTTACATCAGTTTAAATGGTTTCAACTCTGAAGAAATAAAAGTATAAAACATATATTTACAGATTTTGTTTTTCCTATTGAGTGGAAGCCATTTAAGGTGCATACTATTAATTTTCAGAGTTACAGCAGTTTATTTTTCAAATTACTTCTCTTCTTTCTGTTGGTCAGTTTGTTTATTAAAGCTGTTTTGCAGTCCAACCAAATTATTTGCTCTATTCATAAGTAATTGTTTCCTGCAAATTTATGTAATGAATATCTTGATCTGTGGTTGTCTAAATTTTTTTATTGTTTCTGTAATTTGTAAAGAGATTATCAGGCAATTCACAACAGTAGTATCTTAAAATTCTTTGCCCATTATAGGGACTGTTCTAAAGTTAGACTACAGTGAGGTGTGAGCTCTTGATCTGTGTTGAAGACCTCATTGTAACTTTTTGCAGTGGAAGAACTGCAATTAAAGTGCTGTTCCTTTGTTTTTGGTTTTGTCAAGAGTGTGTGATGAAATAATACACTACATCCTTTCTTTTCCATTTCATAAAAAATAAGTAGACATGGTATGATTGCTAAAAAGACCAAAGGATTTAAACTACAGGTCACCATTACATTTACAATACTTGCAAACAGTTTTATGTCTGCTAGTTTTCAATATTTGTAACACACATAAAATATTTATTTTGTAAAAAAAAATAGAGATGACTCCATCACCTATTCAAGGATGACAACCCAAAGCAATATATAAAAAAAAAATTGTAGAGGTAATATCAAAGACATAGAAGTCAAATTTGTTGACACTGCAGAAAAGCTCTCAAACTGTTTCCCCAAATTTGGGATCTCAGTTTTAAAATCAGTCTTCAAAAGGACAGTGATCAAATCTCCCACTTTCACAGAAATATTTGAAATTATTTCACTGTAAATAGTTGTTTGTTCTGTACAAACTGACAACTTATTTTCAGAACATTGTTTGTTTATATAATAAAGTGTTTAAAAGCTAGCTAACACATTGTTTATGCTGACTTATTCAAAAAATTCATTATTTTAATGTTAATTGTCAGTATATCTTAACATTATAATTCAAATAAAAAAGTAAATTTAAAGTAAAATAAAAGAATAACAAGAGTGCACACGCTGAAATGTCTCGCCTTCTTTACTAATCATTGATATTATGTTGATAGTCCTAAATATAAAGCTTTATTACAACTGTCACATAAACTTAACATTAACCAAGTAAACTAAACATTGACCAATGAACCATGAAAATGAGGTCAAGGTCAGATGAACCATGCTAGGAGGCATGTACAGCTAACAATTCTTCCATACAACAAATATAGTTGACCTATTGCTTATAGTTTAAGAAAAACAGACCAAAACACAAAAACTTAACACTGAGCAATGAACCTTGAAAATGAGGTCAAGGTAAAAAAAAACCTGCGTGACTGACAAATAGATCATAAAATATTTCCATACACCAAATATAGTTGAACTATTGCATATAGTATTAGAAAAAAAGACAAAATCTCAAAAACTTAACTTTGACCACTGAACCATGAAATTGAGGTCAAGGTCAGATGACACCTGCCAGCTAGACATGTACACCTAACAATCATTCCATACACCAAATATAGTAGACTATTGCATACAGTATAAAAATAAAATGCTCCGCAAGGCGCAGCTTGATACGACCGCAGAGGTCGAACCCTGAACAGTTGGGGGAAGTATGGACACAACATTCAAGCTTGATACAGCTTTGGATTTGGATTGTGATTAAATATTTGACACAGCATAGGTTTCTAACACAGATTGAATGTGGTCTAAGAACTTAAAAATTTTAAATTGGACATTCACCTATTATGGTCCAATATCCAAAATCTAAATACATGGTTAGATTCAGCATATCAAAGAACCCCAAGAATTCAATTTTTGATGAAATCAAACAAAGTTTAATTTTGGACCCTTTTGACCTCAATGTGGACAAAGTTGATAACGGGGCCCAAAAATCAAAAATCTAAATACATGGTTAGATTCAGCATATCAAAGAACCCCATATATTCAATTTTTGTTGAAATCAAACAAAGTTAAATTTTGGACCCCGATTTGGACCAACTTGAAAACTGGGCCCATAATCAAAAATCTAAATACATGTTTAGATTCAGCATATCAAAGAACCCTAAGAATTCAATTTTTGTTAAAATCAAACTAAGTTTAATTTTGGACCCTTTGGACCTTAATGTAGACCAATTTGAAAACGGAACCAAAAATTAAGAATCTAAATACACGGTTAGATTCGGCATATCAAAGAACCCCAATAATTCAATTTTTGATGAAATCAAACAAAGTTTAATTTTGGACCCTTTTGAACTCAATGTGGACAAAGTTGATAACGGGGCCCAAAAATCAAAAATCTAAATACATGGTTAGATTCAGCATATCAAAGAACCCCATATATTCAATTTTTGTTGAAATCAAACAAAGTTTAATTTTGGACCCCGATTTGGACCAACTTGAAAACTGGGCCCATAATCAAAAATCTAAATACATGTTTAGATTCAGCATATCAAAGAACCCCAATAATTCAATTTTTGATGAAATCAAACAAAGTTTAATTTTGGATCCTTTGGACCTCAATGTGGACCAATTTAAAAACGGGGCCCAAAATCCAAAAACTAAATACACGGTTAGATTCAGCATATTAAAGAACCCCATGAAATCAAGAATAAAACCCCATTGAAATTGGTCAAGAAATAAGCAATTTATAGGAAGTATCTTCTTTTGCACAATCCTGTGCTATTAAATATTTCTTGCTATTGCGCAATACTGTACAATTGACAATTTCTTGCTATTGCGCAATATTGTGCTATTGGATATTTCTTGCTATTGCGCAATACTGTGCAATTGAAGATTTCTTGCTATTGAGCAATACTGTGCAATTGAAGATTTCTTGCTATTGTGCAATACTGTGCAATTGAAAATTTCTTGCTATTGCACAATACTTATTATATAATAATTTACACATCCTGTTTGGTGTGTATCTCCTACCATATCATTATTATTTGATTTTAAATATAAATCAGAAATAACCAACTTAAAATGGAAAATTTTAAAAGAAACAAAAAAGGAAAAAAAGAAAAAAAGGAAAAAAAAATAAATCCCCCCCCCAAAATTTTTTGAACCCCCATTATGATTCATCACCCCCAAACTCAATCCCAGCCTTCCCTTTGTGGTATGGTACCTTGCAGTACAATTTCAGAGAGATCCATACACTTGAACACAAGTTATTGTCTGGAAACTAGAAAAAAATGTGTTTTTTGGCCCCTTTTTGGCCCCAAATTCCTAAACGTTTAGGGCAATTACCCCCAAACTCAAACCCAGCTTTCCCTTTGTGATATGGAACCTTGTAGTACAATTTCAGAAAGATCCATACACTTACACACAAGTTATTGTCATGAAACTAGAAAAATGCTTGTTTTTTGCCCCTTTTTTGGCCCCTAATTCCTAAAATTTGGAGGCAATTACCCCCAAAATCAATCCCAGCATTCCTTTAGTGATATGGAACCTTGTGGTACAATGTCAGAGAGATCCATACACTAACACACAAGTTATGTCTGGAAGTTACAAAAATGCTTATTTTTGGCCCCTTTTTGGCCCCTAATTCCTTTACTGTTATTACCATAACCCCCAAAATCAATCCCAACCTTCCTTTTGTGGTATTGAACCTTGTGGTAAAATTTCATAAAGATCCATTCACTTAAACTAAAGTTAGAGTGCGAAAACCAAGTGTCTTCGGACGACGCCGGACGACGACGACGACGAAGCCAACGTCATACCAATATACGACCACAAAAATTTTTTTGCGGTCGTATAAAAACCAGACCAAAACACAAAAACTTAACTATAACCACTGAACCATGAAAATGAGGTCAAGGTCAGATGACACCTGCCAGTTGGACATGTACACCTTACAGTCCTTCCATACACCAAATATACTAGACCTATTGCTTATAGAATCTGAGATATGGACTTGACCACCAAAACTTAACCTTGTTAATCCATGAAATGAGGTCGAGGTCAAGTGAAAACTGTCTGACGGGCATGAGGAATTGCAAGGTACGCACATACCAAGTATAGTTATCCTATTACTTATAATAAGAGAGAATTGAACATTACAAAAAATCTTAACTTTTTTTTCAAGTAGTCACTGAACCATGAAAATGAGGTCAAGGACATTGGACATGTGACTGACGGAAACTTCGTAACATGAGGCATCCATATACAAAGTATGAAGCATCCAGACCTTCCACCTTCTAAAATATAAAGATTTTAAGAAGTTAGCTAACACAGCCGCCGTAGCAGCCGGATCACTATCCCTATGTCGAGCTTTCTGCGACAAAAGTCGCAGGCTCGACAATAAAAAACAATATGAAAAAAGTTCTATGCCAATATAAAAGTCCTTAGATCATGAAATGTAGATCTTCTTCTTCTTTTACATAAGATGTTTAAAAAGTTGATACCCATGCAATGATGAGCTGGAACTAAAATCTTATAAAAAGTTATAAAATCATTTGATGCCCATATCAATATGCACAATGCACATTGAGATAAGTATATAAAGTGTATCTGTTAACACATCAGAAGACTTTCTTTTCAATTCATCAAGTAAGAACTGAGAGAAACTAAATTATACCCTAACTATAGTAAAAGGAGATGTAGCGTGAATATTCATGTAATTCAGCAACCCAACAATATAAAAATAAATTACAAAATGACAAATATGGGCTACTGCTAAAAATTAGATCTGATATGAAAATAGCAATATTTAGATAATCGAGACAATAACCAAAAGATCAAAAGTTAAAAAAGAAAAAAAGAAAAGAATGCAATAATGATAACTTCATCAGCCAACAGGAAATAATTTTGTTCAATGGAGTTATCTTCCTTTGTATAGAAACACTGAAATAGAAATTTAATAATTCAAGATAGAGAGCATGGAGTTCATTAGAGGCGAAAAGTTTATTACATGATATAATAAAATAACAAAACTTCAGTAATATAAGTCAGTGCCCATAAACTAATTACACTTCAGCATTATGTAATCAAACATAAAATAAATATAAACCAAATTCGTTAAGATTTAATTAAGATATAATGAAACAAATAATATTTAGCTGCAGTTATGCTAACTTTTCATAATGAGACTGTAATTCATCATCAGTATTATCAGAAAATATCAAAATTGCATGGCATAGAGTCAGAATTAGCTGTGCCCAGCACAGTCACTGCATTTATTGTATTGATGAGGCTGAAAGATCGGCCAACAATCTATCCGCGTCAAAAGTTATTACTCCTCAAAGACCTGTTGTGCAAATTCTGATTAATCTTAATTCTGATCTAATTTCTACACTGTTCTATTCAAAATAACAAAGTTCCAAATCAGGCAGATATCTTCCCTACTAATTGCAAATTACTTATCACTGTCACTTTTGTATTTTCTCTATGATGAAACCCAGAGCATAGTTCTTTAAGGCCAAATTGAGAATGATTTCCAGTCAGAAATATGTCATTGATTCTGTGTAATTTTCTCCGACATTGCATTAATAGCCATTTATCTATACCATTGCGACAGGACTCCCTAAGTGGATATTTAGAGCAAAAATTAATGTTTGCTTCTAATGCAAAAATAATTCAATGTCCTATTCTTCGTAGTGTAAACGTTCCAACAAATTTTCGAAACTCTCTTCTTGTCTGAGACAATTAATATTTGTTTAGATAGAAACTTTGTCATGAAAGCAGACTTTTGATTTAAAATGGTTATCTATTATGTGACTAGGCAGTTTAATATCAATATGAAATCAACACTTCCCACTTTCAGACAGTCCATTAAAACATGTATACACAGATTTGTCTCATCAATTTTGACCGTGATATATTCCCTTGTCAAATACGGAATAACTTTCTAAACCCAATGACAATAGTGATGACAAAATAAAGTCATTTTTGCAGTTAAGAAATATGATTACTTGACCTTTGATCAAATTTTTAATGAACTTTTTGGCATATGATTTCTTAAGAAAAGAATCACATGTTTGTATTTAAATATTTCATCTCTTAGAAAATGAGTTTGAAGACAATAAAAAGAAGAATATTGGTATATTAATTTTATCACACTAATGTCTTAGAGACAATTCTACATAAATCATTTCCATATTTCATGAAAAAAAAAACTATATCATATTTAAAGTGCATTCAACCCTTCCTGCATGCATGTGTTGCAAGTAGAAGAATCTTTATTTCTTTATACATGTTGTTGTACAAAAGTACATAAACTTCCATACACTGTAATTAAGCCTATAAATTTTCAAGGTAGGCAATTTTTACAGTCTATTTAGTCAAAGCATGATTGAGATATTTATTTTTCAATATATAAAACATAGAATAATTCAAAAAGATGACAGGAAGAAACAAAAATATTGGACAGTACAACAGACCTCACCTACAACAAACACCCAACTCTTGAAAGAAAATAAAACAAAGACAAACAATAAGGAATAATACATGGTCCAGATTGCCTAACTTGGTACAACATGTGGTTCCCACAAATCTCTACCTATATAAAAATAAGGAGATGTGGTATGATTGCCATTGAGACAACAATCCACCAAAATTCAAATGAATTGGATGTAAGCAATTATAGGCAACTATACGGCCTTCAACAATGAGAAAAACCCATACCATATTGTCGGCTATACAACGCCCCGACATGAAAAATATGAAACAATTCAATTGAGAAAACTAACGGCCTAATTTATAACAAAACAATTTACGAAAAACAAATATGGCAGACATGAACC